GAGAGGTTGACTACTGCGGGCCAGAACGACGTTATTGAGTAACATTTAACCGTATTATGGCACGCGGTAGTCAACCGACTCATTTGTAGGCTGAGACAGGGGTTGAATAGGCGAACCTGGCGACAAGAACATAATGACATTAAAGCAGACACTTCATACATGTATACATATATGCATATGAGAGAGAGAGAGAGAGAGAGAGAGAGAGAGAGAGAGAGAGAGAGAGAGAGAGAGAGRKTGGCTACTGCGGGCCAGAACGACGTTATTGAGTAACGTTTAACCCTGTTATGACACGCAGTACTCAACCGAGTCATTCGTAGGCTGAGACAGGGGTTGAACAGGCGAACCTGGCGACAAGAACATAATGACATTAAAGCAGACACTTCATACATGTATACATATATGGATATGAGAGAGAGAGAGAGAGGTTGGCTACTGCGGGCCAGAACGACGTTATTGAGTAACGTTTAACCCTGTTATGGCACGCAGTAGTCAACCGAGTCATTCGTAGGCTGAGACGGGGGTTTTCATACATGTATACATATATGCATATGAGAGAGAGAGAGAGAGAGAGAGAGAGAGAGAGAGAGAGAGAGAGAGAGAGAGAGAGAGAGGTTGGCTACTGTGGGCCAGAACGACGTTATTGAGTAACGTTTAACCCTATTATGGCACGCAGTAGTCAACCGAGTTATTCGTAGGCTGAGACAGGGGTTGAATAGGCGAACCTGGCGACAAGAACATGATGACATTAAAGCAGACACTTTATACCTGTATACATATATGCATATGAGAGAGAGAGAGAGAGGTACATCAAACTTCTTTAACGAGACGTTCAACCACGACTTCACACCTCTTATAGAGTACCCTTAGCCGGTCGTTGATGTGGAGTCCTTTCTTGCAATGCTGACAATCGATGGCCTCCGCACGACGCTCTGCGTTTGCTACGACCTTCGACATCATCTCTTTTGCAAAAGAAATGAGATGGGATATGCAGTCCGCCACGAGCCTTGCCATTTGTCGTTTATTCCTACTTGACACGAACTGTTGAAATATTTCCGTGGTCATAGGTACTGCTGACTCTTCATTGCTTGTCAACGGTGCTTTGCTGGCGAGGACGCAAGGGAAATTGTGTCGAATTTCATGAGATTGAAAGGATTTGATATCTTTGCAGTCTAGCAACAAGTGTGTTGCTGACTCATAGACACTTCGACCGGTGTGGCTATCGCACATCCGCACGGTGAGATCATCTTTCAGGCTTGCATTCACGACTTGCGCATTGTATGTTTTCATGGTTTCTACAGGGTTCAGCGTTACAAACAATTGTCTCGATGCCAGACGACCTATGGTGTACTGAAGAGAACATACAATATCGGCGCAGCTATTGAGCAGAGACCTCAAGTTCCCATTAAGGTCATCGTATCCCATATGTGCACCATCGGTCTGCAGGCGATGGTTAAGAGTGTAGTACTCTATGGTCTCCGTGCAATGACGGATGCAGTCCTCGGCAAAAGACAAGAGGTCTACAAGACTTTTCGACGAGGCTGTCAGCGGACCGCTGCTCAGTTCCTCACTATCGTAAGACGCCCACCCTTCCCTGACCACACATTTGTCCGCAGAGGAACAACATGTGACATCCCATTCACAAGCGTTTTGTGCTCTGGCACCGAATGCAGTGTCCGTGTTAAGAAGAAGGTTTTTCTGATAGTATTTAAGATCAGCAACCATATTCTGGTACTCCTCAAACGTGCCCTTCTTCTCCTTAGCTATTTTTTGGAGTTCTTCTCCCTCAGATCCGTCACAAGAGATTTCGGATCGGGCAGCAACAACCAGAATATGCTATACAATCTATGTTCCGCAGTTTCTGTCATTTCCGCGAGTGTAAGTTCCACACGGGCTATCTCGTCTCGCGCATGGGTGAGCAACTGTTTCTGCTCGATTACTTTTACTGTCAGTTTATCTATAACTTCTTGCTGCTTTTCAACTATCTCAGCCCAACTCTCATCGATTAAAGTCTGTGTTTCATCTTTGCCCCCCCACGGTGCATATAGATCTGGAGATCGTTCGCACTCTATCTCTACCCCTGCCTTTCGTCTGTCTCCGACTTTCGACATTCTTGATATCTGGAAAGGCGGAAAGAAAGATACATACAGAGAGATAGATAGATAGATAAATAAAGAGAGAGAGAGAGAGAGAGAGAGAGAGAGAGAGAGAGAGAGAGAGAGAGAGAGAAGTTGACTACTGCGGGGCAGAATGGTGTTATTGAGTAACGTTTGACCCTATTATGGCACGCAGTTGTCTACCGAGTAAGTCGTAGGGTGCGGCAGGGGTTGAATAGGCGAAATTGGCAACACAAACATACTTACATTCAAACAGACACTTCGTACATGTTTACATATGTGCATATACGCAGAGACACCCCCTCGAATACAACACATCCCCACCCAACCCCAAAGTTGGGTTATATAGATTCACGATTTTCCTCGCTTTGGAGCAACAGTCACGAATTCGTGGTAGGGCGCCTGCGATCTGGAAAGAAAAGGAAGAAGAAGAAAAAAAAGAAGAAGAAGAAGAAGTAGAAGAAGAAGAAGAAGAAAAAGAAAAAGAAAAAGAAGAAGAAAAAAAAAAAAGCAAGAACGGATACAAGACATCCCCACCCAAGCCTAAAGCCGGGTTGTATACGTCCACCA